GCCTTGTGTTTTGTGTGGCTAAATGTTATGTCCTAACTTTTTTTTTTTTTTTTTTTTTTTTTGCATATGATAGATTTTGTTAGATTAGATGTTAGATTAGCCACTGACAAAATTCGAATTACCATCATGCAAGAGCTCAACTCATTTCAACCACTGTGGTAATGGCCACTTGCGGTTAAGTCCAAACTTTAACAGACCCAGTTTGAGTATGGCCTTGTGCCTTGCTCAACGAAATGCACTTGGACTTCAACTTGGATTGTTTTGTTGGGCTTCAAGATCCAAGACAAGCCCACAACACAAATGAAATTGTCTCCAATTCTCTTTTATTATATTTTTTAGATTAATTAATTCAGAGTATCAAGTGGTACCATTTTCTTGTAAATCTGCAAATTACATATTTTCTGCAAAACTTTCAAACAGGCAGGAGCCACCAGACTGTACCAGCTCAGTTTTCTGCTTGTAATAAGGAAGCTGACGATGACCAACGATGACTTTCTAAGAAATGGCCGTGGCCTCCAAGCACACAGCCCAGATGAGTGCATCCAATTTTCCTCCTCCGCCCAATCCTAATCAGAAAGAACGTTCATCGGCTAGCTTTCAGCGTGAGAATCATAAGAGATGTAGACCGACACTGAACCAACGAAAACTGGGAGTATGGCTACGCTACTTACGAAATGCTAAAGGAAAACCAGGTGACAAGATTAACAAGGCCGAACTACAAGAAATTCAAGCATCCAGATAATATCATAACACAATGAACTTTAAAAAGGTCAAAATTTTATGAAACGTTCCAGCAAAATATTAGAGACTGGGAAAAGATTTAAGGCAGAATCCTGTAGAACTAGTACAAGAATAACTGACAAGGCAGAATACAGTACGCCCAGTATTTTCCCGCAAGCGCACTCTCTGTAGGTTAACAACATCACTGCTTCTCAAACACTCAAATTTCACCAGCTCCACAATCATTTAAAAGAAACAACTTCTGCATAGAAACAACTTCTACATCATCACGTAGCCAAGGAACATGCAAGTTCTGTAGACTGCATGACCACCCAACTATCTATCGAAGAATTTTTGTATACATTAGCGTAGCTCATGAAACTATGATTATTTTGCTCTTGTTCCTAGACCCTGTCCTCAAACACAAGAAAAAACAAATTCACAACCAGTTGTTATGCTCTGCACAGGGGTCGGGTTTAGGTACTAGATTCAGTTCTTGCCAGACAAGCAATACCACACAGCATTACTTTGAGTTTTCGGATCAAATCCACCGCAGCATCCTTCTTAACAATGATAAATAACCCCTTTCAATGCTTAGAAACAAGTGAACCATCACTATTCATTTCCTATAACCCCTTCCAAATGATTCCTATTTAATACTATTTGCTAGAAGAAACTCCCCTCCTCCCATCCCCCAAACTATTTTGTATGAAGTATAGCATCACACTAAGCATTCAAGCCAACACTATTGGTTACAAGTTTACAGACGGTACTATGGAGAACAAAGCTTTCCTGACATAAAAGAAGAATACCAATATAACGATCCTATGGAGAACAAAGCTTTCCTAACATCCGAGCTATGTATCTTTTCAACCGACAACAACATAACTGCCACGCTACTTTAATTGCAACATGCTGCTAGAAACCTACAAACATACAACTAATAGTTCGTACTCACAAGTAGAAAACAGGGCGACGTATAAATACAATAAATGCAAGAGGCAAAGGGCATCACAAAGGAAGGATAAAACGAACACCGGTTCCAAATTACTTATTCAACATAAACTTTATTCAGATCAAAATATGGTAGTGTTACATCAACAAACTACAAGTCGAAACTCTTAGCTCAAAAACTAAAGAAAATTCCATTGCATTGATGGGAAAACTACAATTAAAAAGGGTGACACCAAGTCAACAAGGGTCTCCGCTTTGCGAGGGTCGGGGAAAGAACTTCTAGCGTGCGCAGCCTTACCATTGCATTGGGGGAAAACAACAATTAAAGTACAAAAAAGATGAACAAATAGCTGATGTTACAACACAAACTATGATTATCATCGTTGTGATTATGTTATTGTAAGAACAAAAAGAGTACACTGTTCTACTAAACCAAACCAAAAAAAAAAAAAAATTATAAGGAAAGGCAGACTCACGAGAACCCCTTGCGGAGCTTCTGAATGGCGGCATACATTTTCCGCCGCGAACCAACGGCGTTGATTCCCATATCCTTAAGATCCTCCAATGTCAGCATCGGCAGCACCTCGTCGTCCACCTCATGTATCTCGAACACCGGCGTGTACCGGCTCAGCCCCAATTCTATCAGCCACGACCTCACTCCACTCCAATTCGACTCCGGCATGTTATCCGCCTCAACAGCGTCGTTCTCCCTACTCTCCGACGCCCTAGCCCAGTTTCCCGCCATCCTCCTCTGCCCATCCCACATATCCTGCCCCGTGTCGTCCCCCGAGTTCAGCGGGCTGCCTGTCCCTCACCGGACTATCCTGATCGGGGTCCACGCTGAACCACTCTCCTCCATCCTCTCTGCTGTCGCCGCCGTCGTCGAGCTTCGAATTGGAAGCCCACTTCGATCGGACCCTCTTGGTCCCCGTGGCTCGCTTCGCCTTGAATCTCGGGCCCCCGAACTCGAACCCTCCGTCTCCGTTTTGGTTCCTCTCATCGTGCGGCGTCGTTTCGTTGGACTCGTTGCCATTGACGAGGTTGGTGATTGACCGGGCCTTCACCGATTTGGAGTCCTTGGGGAGCCTCCAGCTGGGCCTGGCTCGTCGCATATGTGATTCAAATGAGGCAGTGGCGGCGGGCTGATCGCCGATTTCGCCTAATCGTACGCTGGGGCGCCGCTGCCGTTTGGGGCCCAATTGAGGGCCGTGGTTCTCCGCGGTGTGTATGGCCGTTGTGGTTGCTATTGCCGTTGTGGCAGTTAAGGTTGTTGCTGTATTTATCGGTTCTGTCGTTGTGGTGGTTAGAATTGTCGGGCCGGCGGTGATTGGAGCTTCCAGTGGCTGTAGCTCAGCTGCCATGAGAGTGAAGAGTGAAAAGGTTACAGAGAGTGCGCGCAGGATAAGGGATCCGCTAGTTCTAGATAGCATCCGTGCGGCAATATCCACCGTTGGATCAGGAGTTGTCTCCACAATCTTTCCCAATTATTGTTGATAATCTAACGGCGGAGTCGAGTAAAGGGATTTTTCAAAATACTTGGGCCTGGGCCGCTCATCTGCCTAATTGGACTCACATGTCTCCGTCTGGACCGTTGAGACACCTTTTGGACTCGTACTTTTGGGCTGAGTCCACCGGACTAGGCTTTAATGATTGTTGGGAATAAGCGGGAAAATGGCACGTTGGTAATTATAATTTCAAAAGAGGGAGCGTCCAAGACGGTTGGGTCCTTGCGGAGAGTGCATGAAGCTTTACGTTTCCAACGGATTTTCTGGAATTTGGAAGACCTTCCCTGGTTTACCCCATTGATATGGTCACCATATTATCGTGTCCTTGTAAATGAGAACTGGAACAACACCTGTTTTCCACTTTAATTTCTTCCAACTCTTTCCTCCCATTTGTCAAAACGATTTTTTCATCCCTCCAAAGGCTCCAACCAAACCCTATCTTCAACTCTCTCCATTTCTCCATACCATCATCTAGAATATATTAGGATACTCATCACATCATTTCATTTAATTATATGTATATAAGAGCGTTCAAGAGCTAATCAATATCCGTATATCATCTAATGAGGCAAGTGATGCATACAACCAATACTTAATTAAATAAATTTATTTATTAACGTAACATGTAAAAATCAAATGTCGCATTAGATGACACGCCAATTTGGTATTGCTATTTATTTTCCACTGAAAAGCTACTTTACTAAAGTTAAGCAATAAAAAATATTTAGTAAAAATAAAATGTTAGGGTTATTTTAAAATTATCAAGTAGATTAGTTTTGGAAGTTTCTTTCATTAAAAATATAGTTAAGTTGTTAATGAATATTTTCAATTCCTATACATTCCTCTGTTTGTAAAAATGACATTGTTTATCATTTTACAGACATATTTTCTCTAAAGGGGAACAAAAGTGATAGTTACCACCTACCACTTCAACACTCATCGCTGCCACGGTTGTTGTCACCACTACCCCACTACCAAGCCTTTTTTTTCTTTTTTTTTATCATTAAACACAACTATAGCATTCTTACATTAAAGTTTACCAAAAGCTTTTACGTTGTTATTGATACTCACATCATTTTAAAAAATATTCTTTAATCAAACACTCGACTATTTTATTTTACAATTTATTAGTTCTTGCAGCATACCATACTCAATATCTTTAAAAAAAAAACAAAGATCCTAAGTTGTCCCTAACTGGTTAGCCTTTGAGAGCTCAATACATATGAATCCTTCTTTAAATGAATCTTGTTTTACTATAACATGTATGTATATGAAATAATGAACAAAACCTTAACAACAACAACAAAAAAACAAGAATATTGAATACATATTGTAGCTTTGCTAAGGTTGGCAATGGTTCGAAGTGCCGATGGGGTGGGTTTGGGTCAAAGGTTCTCATACTATCCCCGCCCCCACCCCATTTACGTTACTCAAAAATTTCCCAAACCCGTCCTCATCTTTTCTTTTTCTTTTTTTTTTTTAATTTTCTTTTACAAGCAATATTATTTACACTAAACTCATTATGAATGAAGCCGCACGAAGACCTGAACCCATAGGAAAAATTGTCATCTTTACTTTGCTAGTTCAAACAGCTAGGTTCAATGAACCTAGCCAAAATATACATCAACTAACGTTACTTTGCTGAGTAAATCGTGTCCCTCAAATAGTTGGTGTGGTAGTTTGGTGTCGATCAATGAGATCCCTTGACGTACACTAATTTTCGCTTTCTCAGAAACTTACAATTCCAGCTAAGACCTTCCTCCCTCTTTTTAAATGCAAGTTTTGCCCTTCATATGATCACACAACTCATAGAAAGAAAGTGAGAGTTTTCGACAGAGAAAACAGATGTTTGTATGGGGAGCGTTACTAGTTCAGATTATTATTTGAAAATTAATTAAGAATTATGGTCGATGTTTCCAAGAAGAACAAAGTTGCAGCTGGTGCTGAAGCTAATATGATCAAAAGAAGTAGAAATGGCGGGCATATGCGTAGGCTAAAGCTGTACCAACTGAACCTTGAGGATCACCAACTGGTTCAACAACTAGCTTCTTGCGAAACGCTTGTCTCGACTGATCCTCCTCCGACTCCACGTCGGGTAAGCTATCTTATGATGATCTTGTAGTTTTTTCATAATATATATAATTTATGGGGGTTTCTCAAAAAATGTTTTTTCTCTGAGATATTAAAATTCCTTCGTCCACTTTCAGAAAGCTTTTTACTAAACGTTAATTAATGTCTTTTTAGTTTTTTTTTTTTTCAAATAACGATATATTTATACTAAGGGGTGAAATTGTTATCCATCCCTTTCCAAACTTTAATTAAGGAGTTATGATGCCGTTATTGTTTTCAATTTGTTTAACATGTCGTTATTTTATTTTTTATTTTTTAAATCGAAATGCTTATATTGCTTTCCAAAATTATCATTTTACTTGTTTGGAGTTTTTTTTTTTGTTGGCATGTTATTTATGCCTTTTCTAGGTTTAATATTACTGGTTTATTAACTATTAATTAAGTTAATTCCATAATTTTATCCCACTTTAAAAAAAAAGAATTATTTATATATTTATTTATTTATGTTATAGCTCCAGTAGAATTGGCCAGCCATATACATATCCATGCAAAAGGTTTTTCTCATCTTACACTCTTATGTTTCTTTTCTTTTTACTTATTCTTTTCTTAAAGAAAAACCTAAATTAAAAATGTTTGGCTATCTTAGCATTAATGGTTAATGTGCTAGAATAATATAATCTGTGTATTATGAGACAATACATATATTAATTTTGTTGTTTTGAATTTCATGACAGGATGGAGGAGTATGGCTCCACTTACAATTCGACGACATGAACTATTGCAACTTTGGACTCCCAGATTCAGGTTAATATCAAGCCCACTTCCTACCTAATTTTTCGTCTCTCTTTTTTGTGTTTTTTTTTATATTTAAATTCTAAAATGTCATCGTATAATATTCACCACCAGTTTTGAGGATATTCTAATTATTATTAATTTTTTCAGGGAGCTTAATTGAGGAGCATGGATTAAGCGCTGGGGATACAGTTATGTTGTTTAAAGATGATCAGCTTGGATCCTACGACGTGAGTGATTCAAGTACATTCTTATAACATGTGCAACCACATCATGACAATTCATTGAATTAATTGTTTGTTGGTTTAACATTTTTGCAGCTTCTCCGAGCTAGAAGGGATGCTATGCGACTTTTAACTCATCCAACAACGCACAACCCCGTCCGGTTGCCTCCATGGATTACCATATGATCCTTTGCAAGATTTTGGGGTTGAATCGTTTGTTGTACCGCAAGTTTTATAATATAATTATCAAACAATAGAGAACATCGCGGTCGACATCAGCGTTATGGATGAAAGTCATAGTACTGATAACCTAGAAGGTGTCCAAGCTAAAGAGGATCATCAAATAACTGTGTACCAGAACAATTACGTTGATGTGGCAGTGGCTCCAGTTGAAGAAGATCTTCAAACAACGGTGAATGAGAACAGCAATGTTGGTATGGCCGAAGTTATGCAAGGTCATCAAACACATGCAAAATCATCAAACAATAAATGCTAACAACTACGTTAGTGATAATGTTGCAAATGAGATGATTTTTCCTAGTTTAGATGATCATAATTCGTTTACATTGGAGTCATTGTTACTGTTGTCTGGAAGTGATAACTATGGATCCTCTTATGAGTTTGCCTATCCGATCGATGACACTTGGGAGGTTGGGATGGATCATATGGATTTTGACTTCATCAACTTCTTGTTGCCCAAATGAAATTTTCATGCATACAACTACGTAACAAATAGATGAGAGACTTGATGTAATATAAGTCAATAAGTGTATTTTTTTTAAATTTAATAATATTCTTCTTTACTTGTAAGTAAAATGTATATATATATTTTTAAAGCAGTAAGTAAAATGTATTAGGTTTAAATATAAATAGAGAAACTACACCAAACGTTTGGGCCCAACATATTTAATTTCTTAACCCTTGGCCCCACACGAAGATAGAGTAAATTGTAAGTTGATGGCTAACAATCCTTGTTTGCTTTTGGTTGACACAGTAACAACTAATTAATCCATAAATGAAATTGAAAACGACAACCTTGTAATTGAAAGAAAACAACCCAGAAGGTGGTTTGGCGGAACGAGTAGGATTATGTCCCTCCTATTCTCATATCCTTCTCCACACCTCTCTTACACATTGTTTTTTGTCTTACTATCTCTATAAAAAAAATTAATATAAGATGTTGACGTGGCTTAATCGTGACTGTTCAAATAAGAGAGAAGGGAAGGAAAAAGAGATTAGGAAATGAGAGAATCTTCCTCCTTGGAGGAATGGGTCTGGCCGTCTTGGACTGTGTTTGAGAATATGTCTGATGAGTGCAGATTGTATTTTGGGATTGGGCTGTGATCTGCGCGAGTGAATCTTTATTTAGGAAATTTTTGTGATCTTTTCATTTGATTAATGTTCATTTTCTTCATTTCAATAACCCAAATAAAAATAAGATGTTTAATTTAAGTAGCCCAAACTGCGAAAATTGAAATTTCATCAATTAGTTTCATCTATATACAACCCACAAACTCAAAACTGAAACTGAGAATGAGGAAACTTTTGGCAGGAGAGGAGCGAACAATAAATTGATTAATGAAAATATTTTAAACAAGAGAACAAAAGAAAAAAAAAAAACCAAAACCAAAACAAAACCCATCAATAATCTAGATAACAAGGAAACTCTTAATGTTACATTTAATTACTCCAAATGACGTTGGTTTTACTATACCAAGGTTGGCCTTTACAGTGGAAGTTGGATTATACTGTTAAACTAGTATATTGTAGTTAAATGTTGTTACATTATATTTTATCATTCAAATTAAATGATACCGATACTTTAGTTTTTATTAAGGTGCTGTAGATGGATCCGTAAAAAAATTTAATAAATAACTTAAATAAATAAAAAGAAAAAAGGGGTCGTCTTCTTCCCTCGTTCGACAGAAGACGACGAGTGCCAAGACGGGAAATCACGTTTCGCACGGGAAACTACCTTCCCTGGTTTGCACCATTGCATTGATATCGTGTCCTCCTAATGAGAACTCGAACAACACCTGTTCCCCACTTTAATTTCTTCCCAACTTTTTCCGCCCATCTGTCAAAACAATTTCCTCATCCCTCCAACAAAACCCTATCCTCAACTCTATCTCCTTTCTCCATACCATCATCTAGAACTACCCTTTTGATTATATCCCAGGAACTTCATCAAACTTAATTTATATATATATATATATATATGTATGTATGTATGTATGTATATGTATGTATAAAAGGATGAAACAAAACCCTAATAACAAAACAAACAAAAAAGAAGAAACTAAATAATTAAATGCAAACGGCTGCTTGCTAGCTCAGAGAGCTGGATTCCATGAACCATATCAACAAACGTTACTTAACACATTATAATCTTATTAAGAGAGAGTATTAAAGGGAAATGGGAGTGGTGACGAAAAGTCCCCGACTTTATCTGAGTAAATGGTGTCACTCAAATAGTTGGTGTGGTTGACGGGCGTCACTTAGCGAGACCCCTAGGCTTATACTAATCCTCGCATTCTCAGAAACTGACAATTCCAGCTAAGAGTCTAAGACCTTCCTCCCTCTCTTTAAAACGCCCAGGCCTTGCCTTCATATGACCATACAGCTCAGAGAGAGGGCGGGGGGTAGGGAGAGAGGGAGAGTGAGTGAGAGTTTAAGAGGGAGAAAGCAGTTTAGTGTAGGGAGCGTTACTAATTAACTTACTATAGTTCATACTAATGGCCGGTGTTTACGAGAAGAACAATGTTGCAGCAGCGGCGGCCGAAGATAATCTGGCCGGAAGCAGTAGAAGTGGCGAGCCTATACGTAGCCGGAACTCGTACCAACGGAACCCTAGGGATGAGCCGCTGGTTCACGAACCAGCTGCCCGCCAACCCCCTGTCTTGCTTGATCCCCCTCCGACTCCACATCCCCGTGTAAGCTAATTAGATCCTTGCCTTGTGATGACCTTGTAACTTTTTCATATACATATTGATCTATGGGTTTTCTCTCACAGAAATGATTTTTTAACTTAATATTTCGCACGACTGATATAAACTTGTATAATTCGATATAAATTCCCTAACCTCTTAAACTTAATTTTCTCATATGCGAATTGCTGAGTTTCATTTATTTTCTGAAATTAAATTATAGGAGATTCCTTTTCATATTCCTGATTGTTGACATGGAAAAGACTCAGACTGCACATCAAACTCTAACACCCTAGAACGTCCAAAAATCTAACCACTGTTCCTCACAGCCCAAGAACGATGCAAAACGCAAATTTCATACTTTTCATACGTTTGGATGTTATAAATTCCACTGTTTGGTTTAAGTTTCATTAAGAACTAAGCAACATATATGTATACCACTTTTTATTATTAGCATCACAAGTTATTGCAAATCTCACACATAAACTCCTGTATTGTTGAATAAGAAAATTTCTTAATTGATATACAATATAAATTTGTAATACTTTCACAAACATTTGAGTTTACAAAAGCACGACATATACATACTTAAATTTAGGTAATAGCGTTGCTTTCAAAGTAATTTTGCGCGTAAATTGTTTTCAAATGTTTATAAATAGTTTTATGCCGCGTGTCAGTTATATAATACGGTAAGTTAGGTATAATAACATTAATTTTACAAAAAAATTGGCGCGTATTCAAATGTATACAAAAAAATTTGTGCCGCGTGTCAATTATATAATATGATAAGTTAGGTTTAATAGCGTCGATTTAAAAAAAATGGAGTAAATTCAAATGTTTACAAAAAAAATTTGTGTCGCGTGTCAATTTTATAAAAGGGTCAAGTTTAGTAATAGCGTTGACTTTAGATCAATTTGGCGGGTTTGTTGTTTTCAGAGTGCTTGTAACAGTTTTGTGCCGCATATGATCAATATTATTATGATGTATAAGTTAAATGAGGTAATATTGTTGATTTTGGACCAATTGGCTATATATATATATATATATATTGTTTCCATATATAGTGTTGCAAATTGTTTTGTGTCACGTGTCAATTATATGATAAGTTGAAATTCGATGATATGACCTAACTTACCTATCATATAATTGAACGTGACAGTAAACAATTTGTAAACACTTTAAGAACAATATATAAGCCAAATCGGTCTAAAATCAACAATATTACTTAACTTACCTTATATATATATATATATATATATATATATATATCATATAATTGATGACGCATGGCACAAAACAATTTACAAACGGATAATGCTAGGGAGAAAAAAAAAATTCAATCTAATTTGCAAACCAAATAATATGTCACCAATAAGAAACACACACATTAATTGAAAATTAATAATTCAATCATCTACAACCACATCATTTGTGACATCCCACATTGCCCAGGGGAGTGATCCTTATATGTATATTCCCATCTCTACCTAGCACGAGGCCTTTTGGGAGCTCACTGGCTTCGGGTTCCGTAGGAACTCCGAAGTTAAGCGAGAAGGGGGCTAGAGCAATCCCATGATGGGTGACCCACTGAGAAGTTGCTCGTGAGTTCCCAGAAACAAAACCGCTACCTAACACGAGGCCTTTTGGGAGCTCACTGGCTTCGGGTTCCGTAGGAACTCCGAAGTTAAGCGAGAAGGGGGCTAGAGCAATCCCATGATGGGTGACCCACTGGGAAGTTGCTCGTGAGTTTCCAGAAACAAAACCGTGAGGGAATGGTAAACCCAAAGCGGACAATATCGTGCTACGGTGGTGGAGCGGGCCCGGGAAGTGATCCGCCCCAGGCCGGGATGTGACATCATTTGTTTTGTAAATTTGGTTTAAAAAATTTAATCTCTTTAGCATTACTCTTTACAAACACTCTAAAAATAATATTCAAACTTTGTTTTCAGTATTTGCAAAACTATTTTGTCACGGGTCAATCAATATAGGGAAAAAGTAGTTTTGACATCAAACAAAAATAAGATATATAATGATTATAATCCACTCCTTATTTTGAAGACAACACACTTGATGCCAAAACTATTTTTGCCCTATATTTTCAAGATAATTAAGGAGTGGATTATAATTATTATATGTCTTATTTGTTTTGACTTTCGTCTGAAGTCGCTACTCTAATTTAATTGAGAAGAAGATTTAACTAGGGTGCAAGGGATAAGAGACACTACCCTAACAAATTAAAGAACACATATTGTGAGGACTTCTAGGTTTCGATTATTGCCATTCCTTTGTCTTAATTTACAAAAAAAACATATGCCATATATTATATATAATACCGAAGTCCACGGTAATCAAATAATACCCTCCCAAAGAAAGTTTTAGATTTGGATTGAGCAACATTTGCCAATTTATGTGTTTAAAACTAAAGCATTGTATAGACTTATATGCACACACATTTAAATGAATTGCAGTAGAATTTTGCTTATTACTTACTTCTCTACATTCAAAAGTGATTACTTATTGGTTTTTGTTCCACAAAAAACTATTTTCAGCTATTCAATCCACAGCAGATGAGGTTTTTGTTCCACAAAAAATTACAGAATAGCGACGTCAGAGCAATTGGTCGCATCGTAATACCAAAGGTAATTATAACAAAATAATGTGCTGTACATATGATCAGAACTATTTCACTTTTGATAGCATAGCGATGTACTTGAATTGTATCAGCGAGAGGCCGAATGCCATTTCCCTGTCCTCGAATCAAAGGAAGCAGGACTATGGCTACACTTGGACGACATGGACTATATGCAAGTGTGGACTGTCAGGTTCAGGTTAATCTCAAGCCAACTCTCCCTACTTAATTTTTTATTTTTATAGACTCTCCCT